TCAAAGCAGGCGAAATGAGAACACGTGGATTAGAATGAATAATGTCATTTATTTTGTAAATGACGAAAAGATATATACAAAACAAGGGGTCATTCATAAACATGTCACTATAGTAATAACACATGTGGTGCTGAACACAATCATGACCCCTTATAATACTACATATGAAAATAAATATCTACACAAAACAACAGATAGGGGGCCAAAGGACTAGAGATATTATGCAACACATGTACAAAAAATACATGTAAGACCCCTTACTGTAAACACATATGTAAAAAAAATAGTAGCATCAATAAACTGCCTGCCCACAAAAAAGGTGGGTAGCCTCAAAAACTTAAGCCACAAATCCAATTAGGAATTGGATCCACCCACCCAAATATATATACAGGGTGTTTCATAATATATGTTACATTTTGAATCTTCAATTTGACAAACAGAAGAAAAGGATACAGACAAGAGTTTTTATCAATTTGATGCACGTATCTATAAGATTCATTATGTATAATTACCAACCAAAATATTAAACACTGGACAAAATCTCAAACATTAATGAAAATTAGCAAAATTTCTAAATTACGCCATTTTTGTTACGTTGAATTTCACAACGTCAAAAGCCCAAATTACTTGTTCTTAATGATCTCCACTATTTCAACTACAAATGAAAATTTCTTCTCGAAATTTGTATAACCTTGTCAGACATATTTGTTAGACACTTCTCATTTGAAGGTTTATGGGGGGTTTTGCAGCTCATTCAGTATCTGTAGTCAGATTGTAGACCCTGTTCCTAAAGAACCCCTACAAAAAAGGCTCAGAGGTTGAGATTGGCAAATGCAGAGATCAAACTCTTTTCTTGGGGTATTGCATTATTGAAAATTTGAACGATGATAACTATATACATGTATATCATCTCAAAGTTTAATATATGCTGGCAATGCTAATATTGCCAGCATCAATTTCTGAAAACATCCATCTGATGCTTTACTCAGGTGTTTGCTGAACTATGTAAGAGTTCTTCAGTTCACCAATTAAATCTTCGGTTCTTGAAGTTCTTAGGCTCTGTGGAGTACCGTGTCATTTATCACATATTGCCCGTCCCTGTCGTTTAGTTTTGTTACTAACCTTCTGATAAGCATCCTAAAAAGTTTCCATTCTTTTGGAATATTTCCTTTATCAACTTCTGAATATTGGCGACATGTATTGAAAAAAATAGCTTTACAATTCAGCAATATGTTGATAAGTTAAGTTCATTTCGAAAAATACTCAAATTATGACATCGGTGTTTATGTCACAATTAATCATTGTAATACCATGATTTCCTCGACTTTTTCACATGTAACAAAAATGCAGGATTTGATGTTTAAAATGATATATAGTTTGTACTAGAAATATGATAGGTAAGACATATAATTATATTTGAAAATGTAACATATATTATGAAACACATATATAAAGCACATTTTACAACAACTCTTAAACTAACATAACTGCCCTTAGTGAAGATATATTAATAAAGAAAGCACAAAAAAATTCACTTTTTATAAGGATACCCACTTTTTATAAGGATACCCATATTAACAAAAAGTCTTCAAAATCACAAGACCTTTCATTTGATATCAAGAAAAAAAAAACTGACCCCTCACATTAAGGGCTCAGAAGGGCATAAAGTCTGTCATCTATAACTCTTTAATGATAATTTTTTTAATAAAATATTGAAGAAAAAATGATCATCCATACAATTTGCAGCTGAATTTTTGTCCCTCGCTTTCACTTAAAGTGGGGGATATTTATTTGGGTCTGTCTGTCCGTCCGTCCGTCTGTCCGTCCGTCCGTCTGTATTTCTGTCTGTCTGTAACGCTTTCGTTTCCCCTCGATATCTCGAGAACCCTTTAAGCTTTCGGAATGAAATTTTGCATAGCAACTCCGTATGGCCTAAAAAAGAACCCTGTTGATTTTGAAGTCAAAAAGTCGAAGGTCAAGGTCATAAATTCATAAATTCTGTCTGTTTTAACACTTTCGTTTCTACGCGATATCTCGAGAAACCTTTGAGCTTTTGCAATGAAATTTTACGTAATAACTCCCTGTGGCCTAAGGAAGACCTCTATTGATCTTGAGGTCAAAAAGGTCAGAGTTCAAGGTCGTAAATTTATACATTCCGTCTGTGTGTAACACATTTGTTTCCGGGGGATATCTCAATACGCTTTTGAGCTTTTGCAATGAAATTTTATACCATAACTCCCTAGGGCCTCTCTCAAACCTCTAAAAGTGTCCCGCCCCGTTTTTTAATTATTATTTACATGTATTGTATTAAAAGTCGCATGGCACTATTTTTAGCACAGGGGCTTGTGGAGAGTTATTACGTATAATACAGGTTGTCGGTGGACATTATATTCTAATTACACCTATTAGAACTGTTTAGTAAAGGCTAAATTAGACACCATGTATTGATTAAAATTTTGACAATATCAAACGTCAATATAAACATTATATGTGAGTTAATGTTTGCATTTAATTTGTTCTATAATTAAGTCCTCCGTGGTCTAGTGGTATGTTGCTCGCTTAGCAAGCGAAAGGCACGGGTTTAATCTCCGGACCATTTCCTTTTTTTTTTTTTTTTTTTTTTTGATTTACTAAATGATACTTTTCAACATGGGAAATGAAAAAGTTATGATGTCTGGCGTGTACAAACTCATAAAATCATTTTTACAGTGTGATAAATATTCTGTATATTAAAAATAATCTTCTTTACACATATTAAAGAATAGGCAATTAAATCTTTATATCCATATTGGCATTTTTTTTTTAAATTTGCTTCAATATACATGTATACATTTAATAATTCTACAAATACAGGGGGCAATGTGACCCCCCCCCCCCCGAACTGCGCATGCTCTTCTTTTTTTCCCTAAGCGGGGGACACAAATTCTCTGAATTAGCTTGTATAAATTATGATTATATATATTACGTAATAAGGGGCCAAAAAATATGCATCCTTTTAATTTTTGCAAGACAGTCAAATTAAGGACTTGAAAGGCTGGCCCCTAACTATTTCTATTCTATATATCTCCAACACAGAAAAGACATTTCTGAATAATTGTTGAACAAAAAGTGAAGAAAAAGGGCTGACCCCTCAAATAAGGGCTCAGAAGGGCCAAAAGTTTTTTCATCTATAACTCTTTAATGATCAATATTTTGTTAAAAATTATTGAAGCAAAAAAGGTCATAGTAACAATCTGCAACTTTATATTTTATATAGTTTTGATTATATATAACATAATTAGGGGCCAAAAAGGGCCAGAATTCTAAATCTTTGACACTTTATATCTCGAAATTGGGAAATATTTTGATAACTAATATTGAAAAAAAGATGTTCAAAAAATGTTCTTAATAGTATGCACCTTCTTCATTTTTGCACGACAGTCCCATTAAGGACTTGAAGTGTCTGTCTTTTTAAAACTGCACAAAGTCTTCCGGAGGAATATTACTCTGAAGTTAATTTCTTGTCTTATCAGAATTGCAGTCATCTAGAGGAATATTATTCCGTAGATAAGATTTTGACTTTTTAAACCAGTAAATAGCCCACTACACGAATAATACTCCGTGGATAAAATTCTTTAAAAAATTGTACATGGCCTTCTTGAGAAATATTACTCCGTCATTTAATTTTGTCTTATTAGACTTGCACAAAATCTTCTAGAGGAATATGTAACCTTAGATAATATTTTGTCTTTTTAGAATTGCACAAAACCTTTCAGAGAAATGTAACTCCTTAGTTAAGTTTTTGTCTTATCAGAATTACAGTCCTCTGGAGGAATATTATTCCGTAGGTAAGATTTTGTCTTATGAGAGCTGTACATAGCCTTCTAGAGGGATAATACTCCGTAGATACGATTTATTAGAATTGTACATAGCTTTTTAGAAGAATACTACTGCGTAGTTAAAGTTTTGTCGTATTAGAATTGTACAACGTCTACTGGAGGAGTATTATTCCTTAGATAAGATTTTGTCTTACTTGAGCTGTAAATAGCCTTCTAGAGGGATATTACATGTACTCCGTTGATGAGATTTTGCCATACTAGAGCTATACATAACCTTAATATCAGAGTTGTATAAATATTTCACCGCAGTGAATTTTTCATACTACAAGAGCTTTGCAATAGCCTTAGTAGGAATATTACTCCGTAGATGAGATTTTGTCTTACTAAAGCTTTACATATAACCTTCTTCTTAGAGTTGTATGTAGCTTTATAGAAGAATATTACTCCGAAATAAATTTTTCATTCTTCAGAAGCTTTACAATAGCCTTCTGGATGAATATTACTCCGAAAGTATCTTTATAGAGCTGTGCATATCCTTCGAAGGAATGTTTCTAGGGGGTAAAGTTTATGCCACACGAGAACTGTACGTATATATTATAGAGGAATGTTACTCCATAGTTCAGTGCTTTAATTAAAGGAATTTACTACGTATGAATAATTTTTTGAAGACGATATTGCTGATTTGTTTCTGATTATTATTATAACAGAGTCTTTAATTATCATATATAAAACAATGAGTCAAAACCCGGAAAAGGTACGGTGAAGCACAGTACCTTTTTATTTTGATGTCCCTTCTCAATATTTATATTTTCCGAGTACTGGAAAAAAAAACAACTACATGTATGACGTCACACTAAAGCCCTTGCAAGCGATATAAGATCTAAATATAAAAAAAATTCTGCTTACATCCACGCAAATATTATGATCATGGTGTTTCCTCAAAATAGACCGACAATCACCTGTTTCTGCCTGTCATTCTAGTACTTTTCTCCACAAATGTGCCCTCCGTCGGCTTTATTACAAGTCCGTACATTCTCAATTACGTTAGAATATAGAATATTGATTGATTTTATCAAGGATATCTTTCCGTTTTGGACATATCACACTGGTTTTAAACATATTTGTTTTGCAAATCACAAACTACCATAATAGCTTGATCTACACTTCAACTACAGAGCAACTATGCTTGTGCTCCCAGTCAGTATAGCAAGATCAAGTTAGATGTCATTCTGTTAATGATCTTCTGGCAAAAAAGTTGCACACTATTTCGTATTCACATTATGTATGGAAAACAAAAGAATTTGATTGTTTGAGAAAAAGTACATTATGTTTATTCATTCAGAGACTCATTTGCGTTGTTTTAATTTGAAGTCCTTATTGTTTTTTTTCCGAACATCTGTAAATATGGGTCTCCTTAGCTGCGCAAAGACGGAACCTTATTAAAGTCAATGTATATGGAGTACAAGTGGTATAGATACATGTCGAGGGATGCTTTTGTCAGATAAACATTTTCACAGACACACAGTCGTTTTATCAATATTATTGACACTATATATCCACAGTGAACCAATTGGGGATTATTTTGCACGACCCGACTATTATTTATTGAAGAATCATAAAACGTATTCATGAAGATATTACATGTACATGAATTAAAAGAGAAGTGTATGTTTGCATAAAAATTGGCCTCACAGCGTTTTCACATAGAACTTGTATAATTTCAATTTCAGATTATGAACGTTTCGGAGCTCTATACAATATTTAAAAAAAAAAACATTAAAGAAATGTATAATGTATTATACATTTCCATTTTCAGAGCATATTATACCTCGATTTGAATAAAAGCGGGTAAAATAACGCTATGACCTTGATCCAGGTTTCCTGGTTCAAGATCAAAACATTTCATGTGTTGGTAATGGAATTTGTCATTTGTAGGCCTCATAGGTTTCTGTGGGTGATTATCAGTTAAATCATTCATTAATTAAGGAATGAATTTAATAGCTACCCAATTTATACGGTATAAAGTGGGTTGGGGCAGTTTACGCTTTATAAACCGCGAAGCGGTTTATAAAAAAACGTAAACTGTTCCAACCCACTTTATACCGTATAAATTGGGTAGCTATTAATTTCATTCCTTATAATTTAATTTTCATTCATTTAGTGTAAGAAAAAAGATGATTGCCCTTAAAAAATGACTTCAAATTGTACAAAATTTAAATGTAACGTCAGGCGGATCGATACGTTTTTGACGCAAGTCATTGTGACGTAGGCAACCCAATCAAATGGCGCGTTACAATCAGAATTAAATTATTCTAATATAATGACAAAAAGTAATTGAGGAGTTTTTCATCCAACAGAATATCAAGAATGTTGATTTTTTCCAGTTTCAGTGGATGAACCAGTACCTTATATACCTCCTCCACACTGGTGCTCTGTTGTGTACTATGAACTGAATAATCGCGTCGGGGAGATATTTCACGCCTCTCAGCCATCGCTAACTGTGGATGGATTTACGGATCCATGCAACTCTGAACGATTCTGCCTGGGATTTTTGTCCAACATCAATAGAACACAGAAGGTGAAGATGACGCGCAATCACATAGGTCAGTAACATAGCATCACTCAAATTCAAGAGAGAATAAGTCCAAGGAAGTACCCTAAAAGGGGAAGTTTGAGCGAAACGCAAATAAACCCATTTGTAAATGTATTTTAAAATTGTTATACATAAATAACTGTAGCGAAAATTAATAGAAGCCCTTTTGCAAGGTCAAGGAATGCTGTTTTTACTTCCAATGGTGAATTAATTGTGAGTGGTACTCAATATTAGCAATTTTAAGAAAGCTCTAAACACTGTACACCAAAGAGATCGAATTATAGGTAAAGTTTTAGCTGTTAAAGTGATTTACCCTTAGATCTAAGATACAATAAATGCCAATCTACGAGGGCCGTTCAAAAATTACACAGACCTATTTTACAGGGGAAAAAAAATATATTTGACGACATAATTAAGCAAATAGTAACACAAAATTTAAAATAATATTTACATATATGGACATCAAACTTTCATGATAAAATATTGTAAACTGATATTAATTCTGGGTGATTTAGCAGAACATAAGAGTGAAGTAAAATCTTCGACATCACGGGCATTAAAAAAAAACTTTCATTTTCTCAACGATTCCCCATAATGTTTGCTACTGTACAGATTGGGATACCATATCCACCCAGCATGAACTTCCATAGGCCATTTCTGGTCCAGCTTGAAAATCATAAAACTAGTATAGTATGTTCTAGTTAGTTTTAAACCCCCAAACCGCAGATATTTCTGAAATTTTGTGTTATGTCGGTCGCTCTCATTCACATTCTTAACAAGATCAAGTTTTCGTCGATGATCTTCTTCCCTCTCTTCTAGGATTATCTTTTACTGAGGCCTTACTGTATAAAATTCTCTTTTGGTATTTGTAGATAGACATCGGTAACACCACTGCATTACTACGTTTCAATATTTCTGGGTCCATCATGGCGTTTTCCCGAGCATTATTCATAATTTGATAAAAGTATCCTGCTCTGTCAAATCCCGAGACGTCATTTTTGCAGTTGTTTTTATAGTGATCATATCGAAGAAAAACTTTTAAATATTAAGTCAGAAAACTACATAGATATTTATATAAAAAAAGAAAATTTTGTTAAAATTGTCAAATGATATCGCACATTGTGGAAAATAGATGAGTAAAATTTTAGACCCCAATTTGCTTTTCATACGTAGCACAGTTATGGCTGCAATAAGGAGGTGGGGCCTAATTTTTACGGGAAATGCTTACTATGACATCACACAAAAATACATGTTCTTCAAATTACCACAAAATGAAATGATACGCTACTTTAAACTGTTGGATACCTTTAAACTACATCAATACAAGTTTACTATTGCATGTATTTTTGTCGTTGGTTAAATCCCACGCAGCAATATATACAAACAATTCACTGATCTCAATGCACTTGTCAATGTGACGTCATATCGTAAAATTTGACGCAGTTTGTATGCAGTAAGAGGCGGATCAAGTTATATTTTACACAATGTGTTTTGTAATTAAATAAAATATTATTTGCAGATATACAAGTGGCCATTAACTTGGGTGCGATGTCTATTTTACGATTTTATTCATATACTTCTCGTGCAATATGATGTCATAGTAAGCTGTATGACGTGAACTTTAGAGATAATGATTTCTTCATATCTGTATTTTAAGTTTAATTTCAGGTCCAAAAAATAATTGAAATCATTCAAAAACATAATATAAACTAAATTTTGTCGTTTTGGGGCGGTATAAATAGCTAAGTATTTATCGCAGGGGTTAAATACCAAACCCATGACGTCATAACTATTGATCAAATATTTGCCGAGTGAAACTTAGCGTGACGAGAATTCATGTAAACAAATATATGAAATTGGAGTTTTAAAGCATATAACATAAATGTCATGTGTGATTCATAAGGAATTAAAGACTGATTAAGAATCAGGTACGCTAATTATTCTTATCATGTTTTCTTAAAAGGAACACAGGCATTGTTTTGAAATCCCGATCAGCCTTTTCTCTGTTGTTCTATAACAACAAAAATGCAAAAGTTCAACACTACACCGCATACTTTGAAACATGATTTATGTTTGTATCGAAAGCTTGTATTCTATAATACTTGGAATGTGCTGCTAGAATCGTGAGGTTAACATGAATAGATGACAATTCCTTGATCGTATGTACAAAATGTAAAAAAAATTGGTGAGGTTTCATGCGAAATTTTGGAATAATCTTTTTTGTGTCGGGAGAGTAGGATTCTAGCAGCACTTTTCATGACCCAGTAAAGTTTTTACATAATTATTTTCACAAAAAGAAATGAATTATCCCCGGTTTAGTGTTGAACGTTTCACTTTTTCGTTAAGGCAATTTTTCTATTTATACATGTAGATGCCACGTGATGATGTCGTACATGTTTTAGCCAAGGACTCAATGACGTCTATACAATGGATAATAATAGTAAATGTTTTATCTATGGCTTTTCCGATTTATCAATGTTAAATTTTACGAAAAAAAGTCCAAATTAACCGAAAAATGATCTGGGTACTGCCTTAACATACCTGCGCATTGAAGGGTAATAGAAGGGTCGTAATAAATCGATATATTGCAAGGGCATACCCTCAATGAATTACGACAAGCTTTTACACATAAACTCAAGGGGTATGAAGATATTTGAAAAGTGCTGCAAACCTGATGAAATCTTGCAAATGAATTAATTATATCTACATTTAAAGGACTTATCGCATGTTTCTAAATTATTTGAAATTAAAAGTGTAAAACGTTCATTGTGACTACAGTTTATAAATTTTGTGTTTTTACTGCGGATAAACCGCGGTAATTAATCAATTATTGACTCAAATGAAAACCCCTGATTTAAAAATCGAAATTAATTAGATAGCGATCACGTGACCCTGTGACGTCAAAGGCGACAATGGCTGATCAGCTCTTCACGTTAATCTTACAAAAATATACGCGATACAACCTGAATTTTCTGCGTTGTGGACGATAAAATCACTTATTTTATCGATATGAAATTGAATATCCAACCTTATATGTTACAATTGTCAGCAAGAAAAAAATCTGAAAAATCTGTTAACATTGTAAAAAATAGCAGCGACGATAGCGAGGGAGACGCGGCGAAGACGAAGAAACTCGCCATCAGAATACGATTTGATTTGTCATCTTATCACATGTATTTACGTATTTGATTCACAAATTTAACATTATATAACTTTGTTGTTCTTCGCTTTTAACATAATATTAATTTATGCAAGTCTTCATATGTTTTTTAAAGGATGGCGATCTTGAAAAATAATTTCCCGATCACGAAACATTGCCGTTATCAGAGCTACAGATTCTAAATGTTTGGAATAAAAAATGAAAATATCTCAAAAACCTTATACCTCAGAACTAATTAATGTTTCTATAGTAATTGAAAAGCACGCTAGAAATTAAATTTTTCAGCATTTTTCGTAATTAAGCTGCATTTGTCGTTGGTAACTGCATAAATAGTGTGTATATTCTCATCTCTCTATCACTGAATTGTCGCCTATGACGTCAGAGCAGTATTTCGCCGAAATCCGACTGAATTATGCATATTGCCGTATTTGAATTTCAACTCCCAATATCTCTTAAAATATGCTTTCAAAAAGTTTATTGTATTCAGTATTTTAATAAACAAGGTTGTAGATAATATTTTTCATAAAATTACGATTTTTGACAAATCATGCGATAAGTCCTTTAATGTACTTGACCAGCAAAATATTCAACATACGGTCTAACAAATGTAATTTTAGCAATTATATAGTAGAATCTATATAGGTTCGCAGCACTTTTCACAAACTACAAAGAGTGTTGAAAATAATTATAAATCAAACTTGGATTTTTAACGTGGTTATGCCCTTGCAATATTGGAATTTATAGATGACCTCAATACTGCAGGTATATTTGCTAAAATCACGTGACTGCCACATTACGTGACAAATCTGAATAAGAAATATAAACGTCTTCAACATGTAGTTTTCAGCCACATTACATTTGTCCAATAATAGTAAAGGCCTAAAATGAATTGCCCATCCTTGTAAATAATGTATTTTCTGTCTAAAAAAATTCGCCGATATTTCCATTTGGCACCTTAACTGTACTGCGTAATTTTACCATGCTCCGTACAACGCCATCAGTTATATCAAAATAACTATAATTTTCAAAATAATCATTTAAAGAAAAAAAAAAAAAGAAAGAAATAGACAAATGTTACTGAAATCTTTAAGAAATATGTTTTTGTGAAATTTGATTATCATTTGACTTCTTTAAGAGTGTATAAAAGCAGAGTCCGCGAAATGTTTGAACGACCCTCGTACAGTAAATGTCACATTTTTTGTTCTTTTCAGCTCTATGTAGGCTGTCGAAGGCTTGAAATTCATTAAACAATTAATACTTTTTTTCTAGCTAGGTTTTTATTTTAATTTTCAAACTATGTATATAAGCAGAGCCAAATTACATGGTGAAGAGAGTTTTCTTCAGGCATTTTTGTCATCTATTTTGAGAGATGACACTAAACGTTTGGAACTCGAATGTGAAGTCCCATTGTAAGGTGCCATTGATTAATCGGCAAACCTCGGTTTACTCAGCTACACTCCATACAAAGTGCGCGAGGCACGAGCCACCCGAGAAGCTCCGAGTGGCATCAATAAGCCACCCGGAGCTCATACCTTGCACACTAACCTCGGACGTAAACCGTGTTCTACCACTTTGTTGATACAGTCATGTAGTCTTATTTGGAATTCCTCAAAATGCCATATCTTTGAAATCTGAGTTACTTTGTGGCACGTCCAACACTGTGTTTTTGCTTTCAAAAACTACTAACATAAGGTTGTAATCAAAACCAATATACAAGGAAAAATTAGTTAAGTTAAAAAAAATTTTTGAAGAACTTTATGCAGAGCAAAATATAAATTGAATTACAAGGCAGCTTCCGGCGGAGAAATAAATCGATTTGAAGCAAATTCTAAATATAGACTGCTCAAGGG